GAGTTTGATTTTTTATTTTGTATTAATTTTATTATTAAAAAACTTTTTTATATCAAAACATTGAGTAATCTGATTCATTGCTGAAGAATTCCATCCCTTCCAATTCTTCTCCTTTATTTCCTCGCTCTTCATTTTCATTTTTTGATTCATTACTGGAGAATTTCATCCCTTCCACTTCTTCTCCTTTATTTTCTTGTTCTTCATTTTCATTTTCTTTCTGATCGTAGTCAAAAATATGTTTACTTCACCAAAATGTTTCGGCTAGTATGGAATCTGGAGCTCGTTTTCCTCTTTATCTGGACTCAAATGGCATCGCAGTTTGATGATTGTGTCGATAACTGTCGACTGAAGTAGTCCAAATGGCGATGAGGGAAATGAATTTTTAGCCACATATTGACTCCAATTTTGGAAAAAAACATCCAACATTCGTCGCACAGATCCTTCATAATTGGGAGAACGATGTTTGCCTAAAAATCCAACGATGATTTCTCTTATCGACGCCCACGCAACTATCTCATTGTCAACCTGTCAAAGTCTTCTGAAATGAAATGAATATAAAAAATATATGAAATGAAGGGATGGAATTCTCCATTGATGAATCAAAACATGAAAATGAAGAACAAGAAAATAAAGGAGAAGAAGTGAAAGGTATGGAATTCTCCAGCAATGAATCAGATTACTCAATGTTTTGATATAAAAAAAATAAAAAATCTTACTCTCTGTACTTTTCTACAATTCTATTTTATCTATTCAATTTTTTCCTACAGATTTTCCAAAGATTTCGCAAAAAGATTGGTGTTGGGTATGAAAAGATGAATATTTTGGAAAATCTTGTTTAAAAATTGTTTTTCAGCAAATAAGTAAACTTAAAGTTCAGTTTTGTGTCCGTATTTTATAAATTACTTCTTTTAGTATACTTTACAACATTTTTGCCAGAAGAAGTAGCAAGAAATTTTAAATAATATCGAAAAATATGAAAAAAAAAAATTATTTTTCGAATTTTTGGTCCCAAAAATTGGGTTTTGGGATATAGGTTGTTCACAAAATGGGTTTATTTGTTCAGTAACTACATTTCTACAAAAAATCTTGACGATATAAATCGAATATATGCGAAAAAAATCGATTAATAAGTCTAAATTGGGGTATATAAAGCTATAAAATACAAACGGCCATAAAAAAATAAATCGAGCTAACATTTACAAACCCAGCGAGGGTTTTGCTATTGGATAGGTATATTTTCAGAAAAAAATAGTCCGGTGCGGTTTGATTTTTGGTGTTGCACAGTAGGGTGGAGTGAATTTTATTAAATTTATTAATTGATTTTTCCTATATTATTAATTGTTGACTAAAGGCGTAAAATGAATAAATATCGAAAAAATATTCCAATTTTTTAATATCTTGAGGTGGCGCATCAGTCTCGAAGTTTTGAAAATTCTAAAAAAATATTACTTCAATCAAAGTAATAAAAATAGCATTATTTATAAATAAAAAGTTTATTTTAGTAAAATTAACGTGAAACGTAAACATATTTAATAGTAAATCATATGCTTTAAGTGTTTATTGGTAGAAATGAGATCTTCTTTTTCGCGAAAATATATGTCAGTATACTGACATTTGGTATCAAAATTTGGTAATTATTTTCTGACTTTAATTCTTGTTCTGATAAAACCATCTCTTGCTTCCGATCCACAAACCGAGACTGAAGATTTAGTATATTGGTTATAACCAGTTTTACACAGCGTTCCACTGCTTGGGTGTGACACGGAAATTTTTGGAAGTATAGGAAATGGTCACCTGAAGAAATCATATCGGTAATTTCTGCCATCGTATTTCATATATACTATAGTCGTGACTGAACCACCTATGCATAGGTGGTTCAGTCACCTTTTCTGTCGCCCAGTGAATTAACTCGTACAAACGTAATGCTTCAGTATTTAGTTGTGGAAGCTTTAATTCCCGTAATCTCGAACATTTTGATTCTTTTCTCGCCTTTAATATTTTCGGCAATGCTAGTTCTCTGATCGATAGATATATTGTAGGTAACATAGCTAGTAATAGGTTTTCGGGATAAATTTTAGCTATAGCTTACAAAGATCCAGGCAAGCTAGCACATTCCCTATGGCTGACGTGGGCTAATAGGATTATTCGTTTATATGGAGGGACAGCAAATCCATCGGAAAACCTAAAAGAATTGGCTACTTTTATCATGAAAGTGTATGCCCCAACGTGGTTTTACATCAACACCAAGCCTACGTGCAAACATGGTCCTATTCACATATTTAATATGACTAAAAGAGCATTACATCTCCAGAAAAACTTGAAGGTCTTATAACTATAGTTATAAAGAATATTCAGCGAAATATTTATACTTGCTATGTTACCTACAATATATCTATCGATCAGAGAACTAGCATTGCCGAAAATATTAAAGGCGAGAAAAGAATCAAAATGTTCGAGATTACGGGAATTAAAGCTTCCACAACTAAATACTGAAGCATTACGTTTGTACCAGTTAATTCACTGGGCGACAGAAAAGGTGACTGAACCACCTATGACTATGAAATACGATGACAGAAATTACCGATATGATTTCTTCGGGTGACCATTTCCTATACTTCCAAAAATTTCAGTGTCACACCCAAGCAGTGGAACGCTGTGTAAAACTGGTTATAACCAGTATACTGAATCTTCAGTCTCGGTTTGTGGATCGGAAGCAAGAAATGGTTTCATCAGAACAAGAATTAAAGTCAGAAAATAATTACCAAATTTTGATAGCAAATGTCAGTATTTTCGCGAAAAAGAAGATCTCATTTCTACCAATAAACACTCCTGAAGTTACTTAAAGCATATGATTTACTATTAAATATGTTTACGTTTCACGTTAATTTTACTAAAATAAACTTTTTATTTATAAATAAGGCTATTTTTATTACTTTGATTAAAGTAATATTTTTTTAGAATTTTAAAAACTTCGAGACAGATGCGCTACCTCAAGATATTAAAAAATTGGAATATTTTTTCGATATTTATTCATTTTACGCCTTTAGTCAACAATTAATAATATAGGAAAAATCAATTAATAAATTTAAAAAAATTCACTCCACCCTATTGCACAGTGTAATCTATCGGGCGCTAACGGACTCAATATGTGCATTTGTCCATGCTTTTTCCGGATACAGCCCAATAGAAAATGTATAGGAAATTACCTATAGGTCCATATCCCATACACCATAACTTTTAAAATTCCCCTATTGAGACCGAAAGCAAATAAATCAAGGAAGGATGGGATGTCACTATAGAGCAACCATAAAACATTTTACAAAATTTTGAAAAAACCTAAGGGGTCCTATGGGAGAAAAACTAATTACTACATTTATGTGTATTTTCCGTATATAGACCGATAGCAAATAAATAAAAGAAGGATATCCCTATAGAACAACCATAAATCCCAATCCTATTCATACCGATACACCTATATATAGAAATACTATACAATCCGATACAAAAATCTATCGGTTTGAACAGGGTTTCTATGTGACATCTTAACCAGGGATCCCGACGTCAGACCAACATTTCTACACTTTACAGTTATAAAAAGGAGTCAAGTATATTATATAAATATTTATTTATGTAAAAAAGTCAAAATACAGTCAAATAACAATCTCCCTACAAAATATTTTGTCGTATAGTCTAATTTTGTTGTATATTACGTTAAGAATGTTCCAATAAAAAAGTTTTACATTTGCTCGCTAATTTTACTCATTACCATTTAGTTTGTTTTCATATTTAAATTAAAATCTTGCTAAAATCCAAATTTTATTTAAAAAAATCATGCTTTTGTTTTTTTTATTAATTTGTTTCACTCAAGTACATTATTTTATTTCAGCACATGTTTTGAAGACCTAGTAAAATTATTGAAGCAGAATAATAATAGGACTTAAAAATTTTGTGCACTTTGTACAAACTTAAGTATTTAACAGCTCTGGTATTAATGTATTTTGGGATTTGGTCTAATCAAATCAATAATAATATAATCGATGTGGCTCCCGTCCCGAGCCGGGACTCAACTTCGATCCCGACTGACGTCACACACTGTAAATTCCTTTTTATTCCCCGAGCGATAAAAATTTGCGTTAGGCTGAATGGCTCAGATGGTAGGGCGGTCACCTGGCATGCGAGAGATTCGATACTAGTAGAAGTTGTCAAATTTTTTTTATTTTTTTATTTTATAAATTTGTTAAAAAGTTTTGGGTTGGGTTGGGTTGGTTGGTTTGGTTGTTTTGTTTGAGTTTTATTGTAACATAACAAATCTTAAAATTATGACGTTACTCGGGACTGAACTTAAGTCCCGCCTCGGGATATTCATTTAATTATATAGGTAGTAAAATGATGATGAGTAAATAATATAAAATATTAATGCTTTTTAATGCCACATTGAATTATTTCTTTATGTAAATTCATCAAATTATAATAAAAAATGTTGAGGAGGCGCCAAGTACCAAACCCGAAACCTCTCGCATGCTAAGCACATTACCATCTGAGCTACACAGTCTAAAATTTTAATTTTATAATGCTCGAGGAATAATACCGATTTACATCCCATGTCAAATTATGACGTCAGTCGAGATCGAACTTAAGTCCTGCCTCGGGAATCTAGACACAACGTATAAAATATCGGCAAGGCACAATTTTTTTTTATATAGGAACATTGTAATTCTCTTATTGGAACTTCCTTTGTTATGATTAATAAAATAAAAACATCAAAAAATATTTTTAAATATCAGAATCGGTCTTAGTATTAATTAGTAAAAATTACTTTATTTCTGTAATATTGTGTAATAATTAGGCATTTTAGTCTAAATAAGCAACTATTTTAACAACCATATAAAAGTATGAATAAAAACATTCATGATTAACTATTTTTAGATACTATATTAATAGTCTGAATTTTGTTTGTCTATCTTACATTCCCCTAAGCACAGCACATTTTATGGATTTACTCAAATTGTTAAGTCTTCCCACTCTTCTTTTTCTCTTGGTGTAAGCAATATATTTATATGGGAAATGTTGGAAAGTTCTTCATGACTATTTTGCGATATAGGATTCTTGCGAAGATTTATTTCTCGTAAAGATGGAGCCTCTTTAAGAAGGTTTATTTCTATATCTAAAATAAATAATACTTTATTAGTTAAAATATAATAAAAATACGATAATAATAATGTGTTGTTAATAAACTGGCGAATCAGGAAGCCAAAAATATTAGACTGGAAATAACTGAAACCAATATATAAATTGTATATTATCTTTGGTCAAAAATATGAAAAAAACCCATTAAGAATAATAAAGTTATGTATGAACAAAACATATACATATGATACGACGTACATTTTCAGTTAAGTTAATTTTAGATAATTATAATTGTGAAGCAAACATGCAAAAACCAATAAATCCAATTTTACATTTTATTTTTTGCTTATGTGTGCTTCATAATTATTCAATAAAGCGAACAAAGAAGACCCAAAATGATAGTTGAATATTTATTTGGTTAAGGAAAGAAAGGATTATTGGTATTTTGTGGTTTTGGAAACAACAAGCAAAAATTGGACATTATCATGTAAAACGGAGTAGTTAAAACTCGATCCACCAATAATAATGAAAATTTTTACATATAAAATACCTTTAGTTACGAAAGTTCAGTTAATAAACGGCGTTTCGATATATCTATATATAGGGTAAACTGCAACTAAAGCCAAAACCAATTTTTAAGTACCCCACTTTGTAGAAAATATGTGTTCTAGCCTAAATACACAAGAAAACATAAGGCTTAAAATAATTGTATCTAAATCATATTATACTTATAAATGGATAAACTCTTAACATATATTATTTACGTAATATCATTTTACCTACTATAGTATATAGTATACATGTCCTTTAAAAATATTATAACATTGTAACATTTTAACATCAGTTTTATTAAAAAATAAAGATAAATTTATTAATAGATTACTAGATTTAAAAGTAGATTTCGGAGTTAAACAAATCAGGGATCTAATATCAAATCCAGCAAACTCCATTTGAGTAACATTTTCGGAATATATAAAATCTATCGGAGGGTCGAGCAGTCAGTCAAGCTTTGGAACTCGCTATAAAAAATATACGTGAAAAATAAATACGGAAAAATAAATAGACTTTTGTACAATAGTGATAAATATATAAATAATATGTAGTTAAGTAATGAGGTAGTTTTGTAGATTATTAGTGTTTTATTGTAAATAAGTTATAAAAATAAATCGTTTATAAACAATTGCGTATTTTATTCACACTTTCAAACCTACAAAATCGTTACACCTTAAAAAAAAGATGCACCTACCTATTTATACGATATGTTTGCTCAGTTATTTGAACTGGACTTATATTTTTATGAAAATTTTGATAAAATTTAATTTAATTTTTTATTTTAACATTTAATGTGATTTGCTAGTTAAAAATATTGGTGTTTGCTGTGTTTGATATTAGGCTCCTAATATGAAATATGATTTTTTTACTGGGTTATCACCAGCAAAATTAGTCGATTTTTGAAATTATTATCAAAGCCATGGCTTAATGCATTAAATTGATTATATCTACTGCAATATAATAATATTATATTATTATAATATTGGGGTTTTCAGTAAATATATTATCATTATAATGATAAACATTATAACCGCTCGGCCTAACAAATCTTTTTGTTGTTAGGCATCAGTGATTGGCCGTTCTCATTACAAACTGTGATTTGGACCAATAAGGTTTTTAATTGTTAAAAGGCGACTATAATGATATTTAAAATTGGTAGAAAGTGGTTAAACATCTGACAGATCTCAGATTTTTTAATTTATTTTAAAAATCAACTAATTATCTACTTATTACCCGAGGGTATAAGGGTTTTAAAGAGCACTTCTCTGCACTATTGCATAATCAGAGAAGTGTTCTTTTACCCTTATTCATCCGAACGGAAATGGTCATTTTTCAAAAGTTAAACACTAAACTTTTTTGATTTTATTAAAGAATTTAGTAAAATTTTGTGTAATAACCATAACCACAGATTCTATGATAAATGGAAATGTCAATCGTCATGGCAATAATAAATACTACCCTGACAGACATCAATTTTCTTCACAGTTTAAGTCTGAGTCACTTTTTCAATTGAAAACATCATTGATATGTACAAATTCTTTATTATGATTGGAAAAATATGTTTAAAATTATATTTATGTAAATAGGTACCTGTTTTGGACACTTAAAGAGAAATTTTGAGTTTACTGCGAAGCCAATATTCGTTTATAGAGTTTTGGATGAACTATTATAATTATTTCCATCTCTATCGTTAATTTAGTATATTCATATACATAGAATAAAAGATGAAAGCACGTAATTATGTATCCCAAAAATAAATGTATGCAAGGAAAACACTGTTTTTGGCCATAGGAAGGCCCAGTTTTGGCCAATAATTAAATAAATTGATTTTTATTCAGTTTATATTATTTTTTTACAACAATTTTTTTAATAAAAAAGTTAAATAAATATAAAAGTAATAACAAAAATACATTTTAAAAAACAAATACATTCTAAAAAATGCATTTAAAAACAAATAGAGCTCTATTTCAGTGCGCCCGTTTAGTTCGGCCGCGGCTGAAGAAATTGGACAGATACCCAACATTTATGAGAAAATACGTCAGGAATCTCACACTTTCTGCCCTTGTAGTGTAATATACTATTTATGTTTATTATTATTAACGTTTTCCTGCATTGGGCCTTCATCGAATGATATGGAAGTATTAGTTAGGGAAATCGGCCAGCGTACAGTCTATGCGCGAGACGTGAATTTCCATGGGCCTCTCCGTAAATCAGGTGCATTTGGACTTTTTCACGCACGGAAAATCTCACCATTTTTTTCGAGAGAAACAGAAAAGATGATAATCTGACAACTGATCAATGATAACTGTCAAAAAATTAATTTATTTGTCACTTGCGTACGGCAGCCACCTTACATTTACATTTTGCCATTTTTCTCAAAAACATTATGTTTTACAAAAAAAAAAATCAAAAAACAAAAGTTTCTAAATTGAATGTCCTTCATTACGGGTTCATATTAAAAAAAAAAAAAATACGCAACCAAAGTTTTGTGGCTCCAAAGACAAGGGGGCCTACTAAAAAGCGTCTTAAGGGGGTCCCCAGCCAAAAACCTTAACACTATCAGATTTCACATATCAAAAAACCCCTGTATACCAAATTTAGTGATTCTCGTACAACAGGGTTCTGAGATATAAGAAAAAGACTATTCTTATGGGCTGTATCTCCGAAAAAGGGGGCCAATTGGCAAAACTAAAAAATACGTGTCCTCTAAATTTGTCTTGATAATCTGTGACCAAATTTTGTTGCATTAATTTCCGGACACCCTGTATATCACGTGTATGTAAAAAATAGCTGCTTAATTTTGTTATTTATTGTTTACAGTAATTATACCATATATTGAAAAAATTATATTGTATTTAGAATGTGTCCAAAAAATGTATACATGTTTTTTTTCCTGTAAAATAACGCATACTTCAGAAAGTTTTTAAGGATGGAAACTTTTAATTTCAATAAATTGTACACCACCCTATCATCATCATGAAGTAAAGGATAATAAATAAGACTCTACCGAACAGATGGATTGGATGAAGAGGTTGGGTTGCACGTTTACCCGACCTTAAAGACAAAGTTTACAAGCCGAAACAGCAACGGCAACATTCGACGAATTAAGAAGAGCTATCGAAAGAGAATGCGGACGTTTGCGATTCCATTGCTTCTCGTTGTCAACAATGCCTAGACCGTCACGATTTTAATAATTGGGGTTTATTGGTTATGCTGACAATTAACCAGCTTAGTGGATAAACATTAGGGTGATGCAAAAAAATTTTTTTTTGAATTCTATGCGAGACCACTCGGGTTTTCAAAGAGTATCAAGAAAATAAAAATCTGTAAAAATTTGAGAGAAATCAATTAAAATTTAGAGGTCGCTCAACGCAATTGTTTAATTTAGAAAAATCACGCATCTCAAATGCATTGCTATAAACAAGTAGGCATATTTCATACAAATTTAAATGAAAATGGTTGAATTTTTTTTGGTGGACTCTTAATGATTATTCTAATAAATAATGTTGTCCCCATTTCAAAAAATTTTTCATAATATTTAAAAAATATATATTAATTAGCAAATATAGCTTAGTTAACAAATAATTCATTCAATTTTTTTTTTGTTTCAAAATCTGTAAAAACATTGTTAATAGGTCTACAAGCAATTCTTCATTCACAAAAACACTCGCCCCCATCGTTAAATATGAGAAAAAAAATAATTTGTTAATTAACTACACTTCGCGTCAAATTTAACGCACCACTAAAAGTTTGTCACATTTTCAAAGTTGATTTTCTCGCGAACCGTCAAACCGAATTTAGTGATTTTTATAATAAATTGTAGGTTTATTCTTCGGTAATAATGCGTTTAAATTTTTTTTTTAAATTAACATTTTGAGTATATACAGGGTGCAAGAGTGATAATAAGTTTTTTCCCGGAAATTTAAAACGCCCTGTGGATTGTACCAGCTATAACAGCATATGTATCTTATAATCAAACTATAGCCACATCTTCTCTTAACATTTTGTTTTTTGATTCACCGCGTTATCTTGATTTTTAAATGAAATATACAGTTAAAGATTAAAGAACTCCAGTTTAATACAAAAATGTAAAAAGAACGATTGTAACAATAACAACAAAAATATTAACAAAATCAATAAAACCAACATTAAAGAATATCAATATCGCGTATTTCTGCCTCTACTTCTAATTATGGCTTCACATCGACGGCTCACACTCGAAACCAGATGTCTAATCTCGTCTTGATCAATGACATTTCATATTTCTCGTAGCATATTTGCTACGTCATCAAGGGAGGCAGGCAAGGGATCATGATTTCTTAGTCGTTTACCCATATTATCCCACAAATGCTCGATGGGGTTGAGATCCGGACTATTTGCAGGCCAGTCTAAAGTTTTAACACCCACCTCATGTAAGTAGGTAGCATTATCCTGCATCAGTAAAAAATTATTACCGGGCGAAAGGGACAACATGCTCAAATAAAATGTCCTCGATATTCATGGTACCTTAATCTTTAATCTTTAAATGTATATTTCATTTAAAAATAAAGATAACCCGGTGAATAAAAATACAAAATGTTAAGAGAACATGGGGCTATAGTTTGATTATGAGACATATGCTGTTATAGCTGGTACAACCAACAGGGCGTTTCAAATTTCCGAAAAAAAACTAATTATTACACTTGCACCCTATATATACTCAAAATGTTAATTTAAAAAAATATTTTAATAAACGCATTATTACCGAAGAATAAACCTACAATTTATTATAAAAATCACTAAATTCGGTTTGACGGTTATATATGTATATACTCAAAACTTAAATTTAAAAGAATTTTTTAATAAAAGCATCATAACCAAAGAATAAACCTCAATTTGTTTTTGTGAATGAATAATTGCTTGTAGACCTATTAACAATGTTATTACAGATTTTGAAACAAAAAAAAATTTAATGAATTATTTGTTAACTAAGCTATATTTGCTAATTAATATATATTTTTTAAATATTATGAAAATTTTTTTGAAATCGGGACATCATTATTTATTAGAATAATTATTAAAATTCCACCAAAAAAAAATTCAACCATTTTCATTCAAATTTGTATGAAATATGCCTACTTGTTTATAGCATTTGAGATGCGTGATTTTTCTAAATTAAACAATTGCGTTGAGCGACCTCTAAATTTTAATTGATTTCTCTCAAATTTTTACAGATTTTTATTTTCTTGATACTCTTTGAAAACCCGAGTGGTCTCGCATAAAATTAAAAAAAAAAATGTTTTTGCATCACCCTAATAAACATGTTAATTGATGTTAACTACTATTAGGTAGGTACTTAATATGTATTTAATAAAATAAATATTAAACGTTTTTGTACCATACATATTATTAGTTTTCCCTTGCCACTCGGCCGGCCGCCTGAATTAATCCTGGCTACGCCCTTGATTTAAGCACAGGGTGTTTTACATTCGTAAGTTTCTGGGGAACTAAAAAAGATCTATTTGAAATTTTAGAAGCGTTTAAATTTAATTTTAAATCTATTTTTCTATAATACTTATTTTTAATAAAATGCAGTCAGGTTCCAGCACTTGACAAGGCATGACGCAATGTACAGCGAGAGGTCTTAAAACGTAACAGTTTAAAGTTTAAAACCAACAAATAATTTTTTTAAAGTGCAAACCAATTATAGAGAAACAAACAATTTTTATAAAGTGCAAACTAAAATAGTGTAACGGTCAATAAAGAGTGAAGTGTTAGTTGATAAGAGAGAGTTAAGTGACAAGTTTCAGCTTCTGGTCCTATAGGTATACCACCTGTCATTGGACGCTTTTCACTAGACTAACAAAAGAGGTCAAACAAGAGGGAAAGTGGCCATCCGCAAAAAATTGATAAGTATCCTTAAGCATATGCATGACCTAACACTTAATTTGCAAATTAAACACGAGATATCTTTAAAACCCTAAGAAAGGCACACTGTTAAAAAAAACAATAAACATCAGTAACAATAGAAACATTAGAAAGACAATACTAACCAAACACCATAAAATAAAGAAAAAAGACAAACAAAAAAAAACAAAACTTCCCAATTGAACTATCGCGGTGATACACCAAAGCTGTGTAGGACAATAAATCTGTCAACAACAAATGAAACCCAAATGAGACCAATAATAAACATTTGACACACGGAATATAAATATAAATCATTAAAACACTAACATAGTAAAAACAGCATACTAATCAAACTCTATTGGATTTGTAAACACATTAGATTATAACAGAATAATTTGTTTAACTAATAAGTAAATGCAATACTTAATTTGGGAATTTCAAAAAAAAGACAAAACTCTACCACAAAATAAATAAAAAAAATTGTTAGAAATTTCGCACTACTGCGGCAATAAACAATTAAAAAAACCTCAAAAGCTACAAGTTACATATCCAGCTACTGAACTATCTATTGATGGTTTCCGGCCTCAAGACTGAAGACACATGTGCAGAAACAATCCTACTTGGACACGAACAATAACGACAAAAACTTAGACCAAGACGTAGGCTCCTGCAGCAAAATAACAACTCCCGAACCCCATACAGTAATCCCAAAGGTTTGGAGTAATACTAAATGCTTGGTCTAGGGGGGTACCGCGTCGTACTTAGATTTAAGTCAGCGTAATTGTCCCCCAAACACCAAACTGTCTATCCCTCCCGTCCTACCTCCTTCATTACACTACTGGACGTATAGCATCGGCTCGGCGAACCCGGGAATGGCTACTAAAACTATTGGAATTTCGCTCTCGAGCCCTAATTAGGGGACAGCACGGGACGCAATGGACATTCGCAACCAGCAAACACGGTTGAGGTCGGGCCGTTGCTGGTGGCGAAAGAAAATCGGCGGTTATACGTCTCTTATACTTATTTTGAACAAAATACCACTACCGGTTTAACATTTTTTGTTATTAAAATGTTTCATCAAATAAATTTTATATTTTATTTGTCATTAGAAATAAGTGTTTTTGTACTAAACTTAAATTTTACAATTGAGCGTAGCACAAAAAGGCCTCTGGGCCCATACAACATTTAAATGGTGTTATATAACCCTCAAAATAAAAATAAAAATTAGAAAAATTTATTAAGGTGGGACCACATTTTAAAAATATTTTATTGCACAAAAAAATGGGAAAATATACTAAATTAACTTATTTAAATAATATACACTGAAAGAAATATATACTAAAGTTAAATAAAAAAATAATTAGGGCAAATATATTTTATGTTTCATATATGGACTACCCCATACATTGCTAAAACAAATATATTCGTTTGGTTAGCAGCATATTGCTGCCCTAGCAATATAAATGTGTTTCTAGCAATATTTTTTTGCTGTAATTCACTTATAGTTTACATTTTATAGTAAGGGTAAGTTTATTTTTATTTAGATCTAACATATCTTCTTTACAATAAATGTATTACAAAATTTAACATACATTCATAATAAACAGTAGTATAAATGTGTAAAGCACTAGTATAAAATTTTTAGTATAAATTTGTATTTACTTTTAGCAACAGATTTCTTTCAGTGTAGGACTCTGCAAACACACTTTCTAAATCTCAACAAAGCTCCAAGCTGCATGGTTGTTACTATCTATGGGCAATAATCACCAGTTTCATTTAGTCAACAAGGAACCAACCAAAATTAGCAATTATTATTATATATTAAAATTAAAACGTTTAATCTAAAATTAATAAATAAATTAAGGTATCAAAGACATTTTTGGACGCTGTTATCCAAGTTTGCCCTACCGGTTGGTTCCTTGTTACATAACACCATTCATTTTTATCTTCAAGTTGTTATATTTTTTAGAATTTAAGGCAAATTTTATTTATTAAACGATACACGTAAGAAGTTTAATCACATTGGAAAATGCAATCGGTCAATCACTGACGTCTAACAACTAATTAGGTCATAATCAATAACTTCAGTGTCGAGTGTTAACAACAATAAAGTTTAATTTATAGACCGCTTAAAGATAAAAGACATACTTAATATTTTACATATTATGTTACTTACCCACTATGTGATTATTACTGGAGTTTAGGTGAACCAATTGAGGTATCTTAAAAATACAATCAGGAATTGAGATAAATGTATTATGAGATATATCCAGCCTTTCGAGGCACTTAAGATCTGCACATTCATTTGGTAATTTTGACATCTGATTGTGTGATAGGTTTAAATCTGTTATAAGACTAAATTTTATGGCAAACTTTGGTGGTATTTTTGTAATTACATTATTACTTAGATCACAGATTTTTAATTCAGTATGTCTCATTAGATGGTAAACTGCGTCAGGAACTTGCATTAATTGGCAATCTGAGAGATCTGTAACAAAAAATATGTTTGTGGGCTCAATTTTAAGATTAGGAATAATTTTGTATTTTGTTGTATAAACAGTATAAACTGATTTACCTAACCAAAAATAAGAAAAGATGGTACCGACTGACTAATCGAAAGTTTTTTTTTTAATTTTTCGTTTAAAGACATGCTTTTTTAGATAAAAATATTTTAAGCTCTATTTTATGAAATGTTGCAGTTTTTGATAAAAAAACGCCATTTTTTTATGAATTTTTATTAACTTTAATTTATCCTGCTTTAATGACGCAAATCTTATAGTGGGCCAACTTTTATTTCTGTTTTTTATTGAAAATCTTTAAAAAAAGTGTAAATAAATATAAAAAATGGCCACCACGTTATTTGGAAAATTAAACCCAAAATAAATAAAAAAAATTCTTGAAACAAAAACAATTAAAAATTGGGGTTTTTTCTGAAAAACTAAAAAAAATCTCAAATTATTCGAAAAAAAAAACGTTTCGATTAGTCAGTTTAAAAAAAATTATATGCGTTTGAGAAAAAGCAGAAAATTTCGGGCGGGTAGAAGATTTAAAATTTTTTTTATAGAAGTAGAAAATTTTATTTAAAGGGGTCAAGTTTAAAAGTGGTCGATTCGGTTTATTACTATATAAAAAAGTATATTAAATTTTAAATTAGTTTGAGATTCTCTGCTAGGGCGAAAGCTTTGTCAGGGTGGCGCCCAGATTTGCCCCCCTGGCTACGGCCCTGATATAAGGACTACCATAAAAGTATATATACATTATTATAAAAAAATCATCAAAATACATAAATAAAATATTTAATGGGGGCGCTAAAAATAATCTTGCCTATGCTAATACCGGCACTGGATAAACACAAATAGAAAATTGAGTTTACTTAAGGTTATTTTAAGCATAAGGTAGCGCTTGTATTATTTAAAAATATGTGTAATAAATGAAATGATATACTTAGGTTATTTGTTTTTTCGGCATCTTCGCATCTGTGAATTACTCTTGTCACAGCATTTGCCATTTAAGTAGCAAATGAGAAAATGTTAAATTCTTAAATTTACTATAGTATTTATCACAGGCAAGTTTTCTACTGTTTCTATATTTTTTTATTTTTAATTTCCTGTACATTCGTGTTCCATGCCGATTGTATCCAAAGTTAATTTTAACATTATGTTTAGTAAATGAATGCATTTAACTGGTACAAGAGAAAATTATTAAAAAAGGTGAATACAATATTTTCAAATACATATGTCCACCTATCGAACTACAAAAAAGAAAAAAATATATTTTACATTTTTTAGAAAATTTCATTCATAATAAAAGTTTTTGCTTGATTTTAAACAACCAGAATATGCGCGCACATCATTTTTATTGTTTATGGTTAATGGTTGATTTGAAATTTTATTTTTTTTTAATTTTGACTAAAAATTTGTTGATAAAAATTATTTTTAAATTTTCCGTTCTTTTGTGATTTCTCCAAAGTAATCGTTTTAATTGACATGTCCAATTTTTTTCAAGCGTACAATAATTTTCATATTAAAACTAGTTCAAAAGTCAAATTATTATTAAACTTCGTACATATGTAAATCGAGCTAAAATATCATCATGTCAATTGAACCTAACCTAAAAATGATGTGACAAAATCTTAACAAATTATTTAATTAAATACTTGAAAAATAGTATATATAAGACTTGGCGGCGAAAGCTTATAAGCTTAATAGGTATTAATTGCCTCGCACACAATCTGCTGCCTCGGCTATCCGATAGCCGCTATCGTCTCGGCAGTAAATAATATGTGCTTTCTCCACCTCATCTATAATGTACCTACCGTGATAAAAACATTTATTCGTTCGAAAGAAAATGACAAATGAACGAAAACTGACAAAAAATTATTTTTATCAAACATTTTTAGTCCAAAATTGTATAGAAAAATTTGCATATTCTGGGGGTTTGAAAGCAAGCAAAAACAATTATCAAAAATGACATACTATACCGCACCTTCATCTACCGGGAATTCACATAGGGAAAATACATTGTCATTGACAATTTGTCAAGTGGACCAGATAAGACGTGGTTACAAAGTCGTTTAAATTAGCAAATTAGTGGATTTTTTTCTTTTTAACCCTTCTGATTTAAATGGTGAAAACAGAAAACAATTGTACGTCGGGTATTCGAATTATTCACAAAAGTAACATTTATTAAAATTTGGAACAAAAATTGTTGTACCTAACTACCCTACAATTAAAAATAAACAATTAATATTAACTTGAACTTACTGATGGTAGTTGAAATAATCAAATTATTACTTACTTTATTTTAACAACAATCAGAAAGTTTAAGTGGTTACTAAATGTTTATGGTTAATTTTAAGGTAGTTATGCAAAATAATTTTTTGTTTTAAATTTTTGTGAATATTTCGGAAACCCAACGTTGAATGGTTTTTCTGTTTTCACCTTTTAATTTAACCGAATTTGTAGCTCCAATAATAAAGAAGTTAGCAATGTTGAGCAGATAACTTTGAACACCCTGTATGTATGTAATACGTTTTGCACAAGTAAATATCGAAATAAAGTTTTAAAAACAATATATTTTGTCGATACCAATATGTTTATTAAAATTTACTATCTACTTATATTATTATATTTTTAATATTACATACAGGGTATACTCTGGGAGCACTGGTCATCGATGTGGATTATTTAATTTTTAAAAGGTTAGTTTGGTTTGCATGCAAACCAAACTAACCTTTTAAAAATTAAGTGACTTCAAATTAAAACAATATTTTCTTTTGACGGATTTTATTCAGTTTTTTCATGTACCCATACATAAATTGCTATAGCAATTTATTATCCATTTTCTGTACTTTTTGCGCCAATTTCCTTTATTTTAATTTAATCCATATTTAATTTGGTATCCCCCTTTTCTTTTGCCAATCTTACCAGCTTTTACCACTTTCTTTACTGTTTTCACGCATCCTAACTATATTTTTATATGTACCATCCCAAATGTCGCTTCTTAATAAATAATAATAATAATTAATAATAACAATTATTATTTTAATTGTACTAATAATTTTATTATATTTACGTTTACAGGTTAATGTCCCATTTTGTCTTACCCGCTATTTTGCCTAAATGTTTTTATCGAGTGCTCTAAGTTTATTTTAAGATTTTTGTTTAATGCCCCTGAATCGCATTCATTCGTCGGAAAAATCTTCTTTTTTATGAATCGGCAATATTATGTTTTCTTCCTATTCTTTCGGTGTTGTTTCATTTGCCCGACATTTTCTTATAATCGTTTGTAACTATTTTACTTTTGCCAGTCTTTACAAGATCTTTTTAAAATTATTTCTGGGTATATTTTGATATATTACTTTACCTACTTTTGCCGATTGCTTCCTCCAATTCCCTCATTGTTATGTGTATCTCCTTCATATATATATTTTTAATTATCACTGCCTCTATCTGTGTTTTTATTTTCCTCAGTTTCTTCATTATCTTTGTATTGTTTCGAGTATTTTTTAAGTTATTTTTTAATCTAAACTAATTTGCATAAAAAATGTAATATAATTTGCGTTTTTTAATAAATTCATTATCTTAATAAATTATTTCTAATCTTTTATAATAATTATCAATTATTGATTTATAACAAAGAGTTTTAAAGATTCCCTAAAATTATGGTGAGTTCTGTAAAAATTTTGACAGTTTACAAGAAAGGAAATCTTACTTGTGATGAGTATTTTAACTTAATAGGTAAATCAATACGCAAGGGCAAAGTGACTTATAGGTACATATTTTCAAGGTTCAAAATTCCGGAAATACTAAAAACTATCTCTGGTTTATTGTGACTAGAACATTTTAATTTATTAATTCTAGTTTGGTTTATAAGTTTTCTCTAGAAACATGGGCCACGTGCCAATATCTAAAAGATTTGTTAAAAAATAGCAAACAAAAATAAACATGCGAACAAAATAAACAATTAACATACTTTTTATATAAATAAGTTTTCGTCTAATTATTATGCTAATATGTCAGCCACTCATTGTTTTAACGTACGTATCCATGTTTTACCAAGGGCAGCAATAAACTTATGACTGATCTACTACTAACAATGATTGTAAAACTACTTTAACTTATAAGAACACGACCTTTCAAACACAGTTGTGAGTGTTTAACTTATTCGATTAAAAATATATTTAAATTTATAATATTACTTTTATAGGTATTTAAATTTTTAAATTATTTATGATTGTAATTTTAAGCTGGTGTATTGCAAATATTTTTTTATTATTTTTATTTGAAAATCCACTATTACATCAATATTTTTAAATCGTTTTACTTACTGAGTTCACTATTTTCTTTAGCATCATTACACCGTTCTATAACCCTAGTAACAGCTCTTCCTGCAAGCCTAGTACAAATCAACATTGCACTAAGTCTTGGGTCTGGTTCACTTTCGGCTTCTGGGCCTATTTCTTCATTGTATTGTGATGGAGGACGCATTGTTCCCGCACTTAGCAACAAACAATTTTAACTCACTTCTATAACGCTTTTAACATAAACAATCAAAAAGGTTTCAGGATCATCTGATTTTATACGCTGCCACCTCCATTCATATTAAATATATAATGCGTCGCGAAGCGTCACGACGCGTCGGCCAAATACAACGCATATCCTTTATTTTTAACAACGGCTGGCAAAAGCATACACAAGGTAATCAAACGGTCACAGGTTTACTTAAAAAGCAGGAAATACGTTAACTTTAGCTATAAATTTAGGTATTGCAATTTATTAAAATAAAATTTACTTTATTATACTAGGCCAGATTTTATATGGGAAACCTAATACTTTTATACCGGTTTTTTAATCGAAAGAGCAAAAATTGAATAGTTTGTTATAAAGAACCAATCAGCCTCTTAAAATATTGGTAATTTACAGCTACCCCAGTAAACACACATACGTTAATTAAACGTTTTTTTAAACCTTAACACCATTTTGTTTTTACGTATATTTATAACGTACAATCAACTTTAAAATGTCGCAGATTATAACGTTTAACTATACTAATAAATAAACGTTTAATTTTGGCGTTAAGAAAACGATCATTACACGTTTCGAAATGTTACATTTAACACGTTTAATATACGTCTATTAATAACGTAAATTAATGATTGTTTTTGCCTCATTTATAACGTTTATCTATACGTTATATTTAAATTCATATTATATATATATATATGTCCTTTCTAACGTTACACTGAAAAAAATAAGCTGTTGAAACAACAAAAAAAATATTAATTCAACTCTTTATGCACTTTAAATACAAGCAATGGTTTTTGCACGTTTACTTAACCATCTAAAAATGTCAAATTGTATTGTTTAATTGAACAACAAATAACAGTCAAATGAACAAAATAAGAATATTTGTTCTAATCTGCTAATTTGGTTAATTTAACATTCTTAGGGTGTTAAGGTAAATTTCTTGAAATGTCCAGTTAACCTTTTTAGCATATTCACTTAACACCAATAAAATGTTAAATTAACATTCTGAAAATGTAAAATTCTTTAAAGGTTGGTATCCAAAACAAAATTATGGAAATAATATATTATTATATATAAATAGAAAGAATTGAACCTTCACCTCGCCCAGAGTTTTTGTTTTGAGCGTGTTCCACCCATGATACATCTTTGTATCTTTGTATCTTTGTATCATGTGTTCCACCTACTTCAAATACCGACAGACTGCCCTGTATTGAGGGTCTTAACAGTGTCGGGCAATATGGTGTAGTGAAAGTTCTACTGTGGAACACACCTTAAACAAACAGATATCTCATCTTATATACACCTAATCATAAGCTAACTAAGGCGAGATGTAAGAAAACGTCATTGTCTAATGACGTGGCGTGAGTGTTCGAAGCGCCATTCTCGGCAATTTTATGAATGCAAATTTTACATTTTAAATTTTAAAGTAACATTTTAAATTTGTTAAATGAACAAATTTAAAGTTTTGGATTAAAGAGCAACTAAACGTTAATTTAATAGTTTTTTTAGGTAATCCTAAAAATTTCAGTAGTTGATTCAACAAATTCCAGCTATTAAATCAAAGTCCGATAAACATTTTAATTCAAAATATTAGTTTATGTTAAATTAATATTTAAACTGTCAAATGAACAAATAAACTTTGACAAACTCTGACTTTTGCTTTAACACCAAAATATAGATTAATCCAATAGGTTTTTTGTTGAAACAACATTTTTAAAAATGACATTTAGGCAAATGTTAACTCAACTACATTATTTTTTTCGGTGTAGTTCTATAATAAATAAAACTTCACAAATACTTGTTTTTACAACGTATTTATTAAACGTTCGTTTAACGTTAACTTCAACATGAATACATGGTGTTTAAAGGTTGTAGACAATGATTTTTTTCTCCAGCCGTCTTCAGGTGAATCATTTTTATCGTTTGCTGGAAAATTTAGGTGCTTCTAAAACACAAAAAAAAATTGTTAAACGATGAAAAATTGACTAATTTTTCGAAAAACCCTATAAGATTTAAAAAAAAAATGGCTTAAAAAGCTTGTTTTCAGCTGGCTTTGTTGTTAAACAGATTAAATTAAAAATTTGTATTGTAGAATATCGCTGGGCTGAAATTTGATAAAAAAAATCCGGTATTTTTAGCGCACCCGGTATAATAAGAGTGTTCTCGAAATACTAATTTACAATACGTACACCATCTTAAGGTCTTGTTGAATAGATCTATAAGTTATAGACTATAACCATATATATATATATATATATGTAAGAACAATATGTAAATATTTTTACAAACAACAATAGAATTGTTTAGCTCAACCTCCCGACCTCCCACCGAGCTAATTACATTAACCATATATCGATAAGCACTCTATCTATAAACCATATATCTCAACGCAAGTTTTTATACTGCCCTCGTTTTACAGTTTATTCCGTACTACTCGACTTTTTGATGAATCAGGGATATTAACTAAACATAACATCTCAGCTATATCCATTACCAATAAATAACGTACCATGGCCGTACGTGAACCAATTTATTTATCTAACACGGCCATTCTGCAATTAGCATGCCCTCATGCTAGGGTGATATAACTTACCCACCTTATATTTTCTTATTATCATAATTACTCATTGTAACTTTAGCAATATACTAAGCATGAGGCAGAGACTCCTTACCCAACCTAGTGGGACTTCAAATTCCTTACATTACTTACTTTGAACACTATAGAATTGGAAGGTAAAAATTGCAATCCTAAAATTAAATTATTATTAATAATAAGCACTTTTACATAAAGTAACTTTCAAAGCAAAAACTTAGATGACACTCCTTTCTATACAACTTATGAGGTACTCTTACACAAGTACTATTTACTACAATTTTAACATATTGGGACTCCCAACTAATTAATTATGTGAGACTCTCACATAATTACTGATTTAAGACTCTTAAATCACAAATGACTACCGGGACTCCCGGAACAAACATCATTTAGGGACTGTCTAATTATTTTACATGGAGACTCTCCATTGTACGCTGTTGATACTCCCAACCAATCAGAAATTTATTTTATGGGACTCCCATGTATAATTGATTTAAACTCTTAAATGGCTACCGGGACTCCCGGGCCAGGAAACATCACATTAGGGACTCCCTAATGTATTTCACATCTAATCATTTAGTGGACTCCAGTTCACCAAAAATTCAACTGGTACTCCCAGTTACATAAAATATTAATTTTGGTAACACCAACAATTTATTTTCTTTCGGTTGATACTCTCAACCAAGGCAGCGCACCTTATCAAACAATGAATCTGAGACTCTCAGTTTCAACACGACAAAATTTTGTAAATCTCTCACAAAATATTTCTTTTGGATTGATACTCTCAGTCCGGGCAGCGCACCCTCAACTCTCGCTATTTACAAAGATTTCAAAATCTTTCAAATGGATTCTCTCCACATAATAATAAATAAATAAAATAAAAATAAAAACAAAAATACTTACTTACAATTTTTGTAGTTTCGATCACAAATTTCCAGTGTTTACTGAAGGCCAACGTCTTAGCTGGTCCCGTGAGGCTACCGTTGTTCGCTTTTCGACTCACACTCAGTTGTTCTGCGACTAAAATAGGCCACAGGGTGCATTTTGCCCTCATGTTTCTGTAACAGCATTCCTCCAATTCCCAATGCAGAAGCATCAGTGTGAAGTTCTATATCAAGGTCGGGATTATAAATTTTTAATATGGGTTGTGCTGTTAGCAATTCAATGATTTCTTGTCGAATTTGTTCGTGTGACTCTTCCCATTTAAAAGTTGTATTATTTTTTCGTAAAAGTAATGTAATAGATGCTGTTCTTACCCCAAAGTTTTTGATAAATCGTCGAAAATAGCTTGCTAATCCCAGAAATTGACGAACACCTCGTTGGTCAGTTGGCGGTGCTGATTTGGCTAGTGCCTCAACTTTATTTGGACTAGGTTTAACACATCCATTACCTACTTGAAGACCCAAATAATCAATTTCCTGCCGAAGAAAACGGCACTTCTCATAATTCAGGGAAAATCCTCCAACAGCCAGTGCATCTAGAACCAACGAAAGATTTTCGAACGCTTTTTCTTTAGTTTCTGCTGGACATATAACATCATCCATGTATACCAGAGCTACATTGTTCTTTAAGGTGCCCAATGCCTTGTCAATGGCTCGTTGATAGGCTGATGGGGCATTAACAAAACCAAATGGCATTACATTGTATTCAAAATGACCATCTGGTGTAATAAAAGCAAACAGATGCTTCGAATTTTCTTCTATTTTCATTTGGTGAAATCCTGCCTTCATGTCAAGTAGTGAGAAATAGCGGTATTTATACAAAGCGTCTATTTGATCCTGTATTCTTGGTAGGGGATAGTGCTCTTTAGCTACCCGCTTATTGAGATCACGGTAATCCACGCATAATCGCAAAGAACCATCCTTCTTGGTAAGAAGGACAATTGGGCTAGCATATTCGGAATGGCTTTCACGGACAAGTCCCTTTTGCATCATTTCATCGATAAGAGCTTTGACTCTAATTCTTTCGGCGTAGGCCAGATGACGTGGACGATGTACTACAGGTGTGGAATCCTTTAATTTAACAGTTAACTCAGCCGTTGTTATAAAAGGTATTGTTTTATCAAGATTTTGCGTTAACAGCCACAACAAACGTTGTTTTTCCTCTTCGGCCAATCCTGTCTCATCAATAGAAATATCGCTGCTCCGCTTCACAGCAGCCACCGTAGAAATGTATGCATTTTTATACCCAAGGTCTATACATCCTGCTGACTTCACTAATTCTAAACCTGGAAGCTGAATAATATCCAGGCCTATCAAAGCGTCTGCGGTACCAGGCATGGCTTCATCAGCAATGATCAAAAATGAAATTTCCAGTAAAACATTGGGTAAAGCAACAAAAAGTATGCATCGTCCTTCGCAGGTTA